AAAAATAGCTGCTGGAATTGATGAAATCCGTCGTGAGATTCACAAGGCATTAGACGAACAAGGCATGTCCTCGCTAACACGTTTCTGTCATACTGCGAAGACTGCGGGAAAGATACCAGCGGACTGGAGAACGGGAGTTATTATACCCGTATTCAAGAAGGGAGACCACACAAGGAATGCTCCCATTATAGGGGCATAACGCTACTGAGTCTTTCAGGCAAAGTCTGCGCAAATGTGCTAGAAAGGAGGTGCGGCGAAATAACTGACCTCAAGACATAAGAAGAGCATTGTGGCTTCCGGCCCGATCAAAGTACTTCTGCCCATATAATGCCTTGGGCCAAAATTTTCAGAAATAGTGGGAATACATGTTTTTTTGCTGACCTAGAAAAAGGCTCTGACCGGATTCCATGCAACAGTCTGTGGTCATACCTTGAAGCATACGGGATAGATGGCCAGCAGCTAAACGCTCTCCAATGACTGTATTCTGATAGCAGATGCTGCGTCAGAGTTAATGGCGTCAAGTCGAAACCATTCAACGTTCGCACTGGTTTCCGCTAAGGCTGCGTCCTGTCTACTATCCCGTTGGTGTTGTACAAGGATAGAATAGACAGAAGCAGCCAAGGCGTTGAGTGCATCGTTGTAGGAGATGTGAAGACCAGAAGGTTGCTGTGTGCTGAAGACCTTGTTTTCTTGGCCTTTTCTGAAACTGATCTTCCGTGCTCCCTAAAAAGCTTCGTAGCTGAGTGCGACGTGACCGGCATGCACGTGAATGGATTTAGAACGAAAAGAATAGTGCTTTCTCGTTCTTCTGCCCGTTGCGTTCTTCGGATTAACGGAGAGGCAGTGGAGCAAGTGGAGAGGTTCAAGTACCCCGGAGTCACATTTACTAGTGATGGAAAATTTGAGGAAGAGATCGACCGACGAATTGGAATAACCAGCGGCGTTCTGCGGACTGATCCGCTGTGACAAAAGCAGAACTTAGTCTGAAAAGAAAGCTCTCGGTATTCAAGTCGATTTCTATCCCCATGGCTATCTACCGTCATGATCGTGGACGATGACTGAAAACTTCGATCGCGGGTACAAGGGGCTTAAAGGGGCTTTCTTAGACGAGTCGCTGGCCTCACGCGTCTCGACATGGTCGGGAATACTGACATCCGGGAGAGCCTTGGTATACATCCTCTGTTCTCCAGATTGAGAAGTCACAGCTGCGATGGCTTGGGCATGTGTTGCGAATGCCTCCAGAAAGGAAGGCTAAGCAAATCTTTTTGCGAAACTGAATGGCAGAAGACCCAGGGGACGGTCAAGATTAACCTGTTGCAAATATATGAAGGAGTCTCTTCTGGACTCCAGCTGTCTTCTGCCGATACTGAAACTCTGACACAGGATCGGGAACATTGGAAATTCTGTCTGATGTGTCTGCCTCCGTGACTGGAAAGGGAAAGCGGCGATGGAAGATGGAAAAGAAGAAGACTCCATTTAGGGTAATGAATGACCTCACTATTTTACTGAGTAAGCGACTGAGACATGTTCGAATCGACTACGAAACCGATTCACATCACTGAATGTAAAAGTCTGAAATTTGACAGACTAAGACAGCGAAAATCTGGAAGCAGGAAGATAAATGATCATGACGAAGGAGAACTGAAACGCGAAACAGTTCGAAATGTATAGATTACGCGATATCAATACTCGTTTCTGCTAATCAAAGAATCATGTTTTGTGCGGTACTAAAACGTTCGAAAACGGTTCTCAAAAATCGTCAAAAACCAGTGAACTGGGTGCGAAGCAGAAACGCACCCGTATGAGTTCTTCGGTGCCGCTGTAGTTCATCTGAGCGGGTAAAGCGCTTGCTGCAAAACGGCCAGTCGCAAATGAATGGTCGTTCCCCAGCATGCCAGCGTAGGTGCGCTCGAAGATGCGACGTCTTGCCGTAGGTTTTGCCACAGTCCGGCATGTGACAAATGTGAAACTTTTTGCGCTCATTCGAAGGCCTGAAACAGAAAGTCCGGATTCTTTAATACAACTTCAAAACTAAAGTCATTTGGTTACTTTTTCTCGTTCTCCTTGCAGATAGGGCACGAACAGGCGACTCGTTTCCTCCTCTTTTGAGTACTTGGTCTTTCAAAGGCCAATAAGGCTGACTTCAATGGCGACATGGATCTGACTGGCGTCAACTCGAACAATGAATTGATCAGGTTACTGCACGGTGTCGGTTGTATGGCGACCAGCATTGCTGAGCTCTTGCATCTGGCAGGCGTATTATTCACTACGGGTAGCGGGATCATGGTCCATTTCGAAGGATCAACCGGATCTTGCTGGAATTGACTATTCCCTATCAAACAGCCAAAAATTAATCACAAACATTCATAACCTTAATACTTTAGGGCCTAGCGTTGTTTACAGATTTCATTATCTTCCCGAAAATGTAAAGAGAACCTGAAAAGTGAAATTCACCATCTGCGCACAAAATATTTTGAGTCAACGACCACACATGATGTGCCCCTTTAACACTGGACAATTGCTAATTAATGCTCTCAATACAATGCTCCATAAAAACGCCAGCAACAGAGTGAACTGTCACCGTCTTTGCCTCTCAACAGATTTACAGAATTTAGAAGCCACGTAGGCAGTAGGATCTGCAAGAAAGTAGGAAAGACTTACAGAATATACTAATAACACGATGAATTCTATACTAGTAAAAATCTTACACAATTGGTCTTATGACTGGTTGACCCGCATGAAAATATTACGTTTTTCTCATTGTACTCTGAAAACAGACCGAACTTAGTCCGAAACGTCCGATGGCCTTAATTAAAGATTATTTTATGCCCTGTCTTCCCAAAGCACCAATATATAAAATAAATTTTTAAAAACACAATTCTCCGAACTCTTTTCGGTTCAGTGTTCGGTTTAATAAGACATTTCTTTCTTCCTGAGGCACAGAGTAACACATACGATTTACGTCTCATACCACGAATCAAGACGAAAGAATCGCAGTGTTACAAACGTCAGCCAAATAGAAATTATCACAGTGAATATCAGTATCTGGAAAATAATTTGCGAATCAAATGCAATATATGAAATATTAACATAAGGGTAAGTAGATCGATGTATTTTAATATGCCCCCGTCAAAACTGCATTCAATGGCGTACTGCATAATTCCCTTGCTTTTCAAATCTCTGAAATGATGCGAGATGCATGTTGCACTACAGGTGTTCCAATACTAGGAAACCGGGCTTTCATCAAGAAGTGCGCTGGATGGACGGATAGTAAATAAAGCTACAAATGCAACCGTGACAGGTGGCAAAACTAGAATCGTAATTCAAAATATATTTTTGAAGATACCTATGAATTACTGTAAAATATACAAAACCTTCGTTATAATGGCACCGCAAACGTTGCATTGCAGTTAATATTTTGATCTTTGATCTCCTTATAACTGCTTCACGATGTTCCTCGTTCAGAATGTACAACAATATCCTTCAATATTTTATCATGGACGTAAAAAACATAACGTAGCAAAATTTCATGAGTTACTTCTAGTTATTTTAATATTTCCCTAAGCTACATAAATGCCAGCATCAAAAAGCAGTACTTGCATGAAAAAAATTGTAAAAAAGCATACTCGTCGAGATGAGTCTCGCGAACGGAGTTTCCGTACAGCGAGTTGCTTCTGTTCATCCTGTTTGCTGAAAAGGCTGAAGAGGAAGGATAAAAAAACGGCAGTACAACTTTATGAGACTTCGCATGCATGCATAGTAAGTTTTACTTCATTATTTATTTTCGGCCTTTAGAAGCATTTGAACAAGATGCTCATAAACATCAGAACAATCCTTTTCGCGGATAAATATGCAGCTGTTGTTGTGTTCATCGCGTTGAACAATTTGTAGTAGCAGAGTGACTACGGTCTATAACGTAGTTGCATCCTCAGATACACAAGGGAACTGGTGACTACCTCGCACAATGTGCAGTTCCTCTGTGAACTGAAACTTACTTCCATAAGTTCTCACATAAGTAGTTTTTGGACTGAAGTGATAGATGTACGCTACCAATCTGTCAACAGCGCGAATCTAAGTTCTTCATGCGTAACACACCCACTTGATACACCAATTGCTAAAAAGCTTAAAATTATTCTTTTTTACCAACTGAACCAATCAGTTTCAAATCACAGAACCCAAATCTGAGAAGATTCTCATTTTCGGAAGCAAATATAGGCTATTTTCGCGAGGAAACTACAGGTACCTGTTGAATTGGAAAAAAGAGATTACCATGAAGACAAACATTCTTTAAACAATGCACGGTAGTCTACCTTTGAAATATGGTTTTCAAAATGTTTAAAATGTGCTTCTGCGCCTGTCTTAAATTTCAAGCCTGTTGAAGGCAGCGTTGCTGATAGCGTAATTAAAGGCAACTTCACTACCATTGCTACTGACGAACTAAATACAACTGCAAGGCCCAATTCTGGTTTTGAAGACCTAATAAATGACAATATTTTCCTGATTACTTAAGCTCTTCATGCTGAACGAATATAAGAAATTGAAAATATTGAGAACTCAAATAATGGAGGTGAAAAGGGTGGCAAAAAGATATGAACCAAACTGTCGCGTCGCTTTAGTCAGGTAAACGCTGCATAATTTCTTAGTATAGCCGAAGAACAAGTTCCGCATCGCATGTTGGAACGTACGAACAATGAACGATGACGGAGGTATCGACGACACCAAGCGAACTGCTGAACAATTCCGGTTTGAGATACTGGTGGTCTCCGAAACTCATTTGACTGGCGAAGGTGAAATTAAGCTTACTAGCGGCTGGTCTCTTCTCCAGCCGATAACGAGCAGTTACGACGATCAGGCGGTAGCTGTTCTAATGTCGCTTGCTGTCCGAAGCACTTTCAGCGAAATTTCTATCAGATCGCCTGATAACATGTCGCTTCAGCTTCAGGCACGCTGAGCTTTCGGCGGTCGTATTTTAGGCACTGATGACGATGGCGACCGAGAAGAGGAACGCTTCCTACTACGCGCTTCAATCAGTTATGAGTCACCTCCCGCACCATGGCCTGAATATTGTTACAGGTGGCTTAAACACTTGGTAAGCGCTGATCACAAAAGCTGGTCTCAGGTACTCGGTCATCATGGAATTAGCGAAGCCAACGACAACTGCTTTCGTTTAATCCGCTTTCACGCGTCAAATGAACTATCTGAATAATCGATTGGAAGCCTATCAGCGGAAGGGTGGTAATCCTCCGACTGAAGCTACAACAGGCTAAAT